AACCCCACAAAGTAGGGATGGCAATTTAAATAGCCATATAATGGTCACATCACATATGATTAGAGTACTGAGTTTATATTTAAAGCGAAATTGAATGCCTAAAATTTTTTTTGCTGAAATGGTTCAGTTACCTTAAAGTGTAAGGATAACCAAATGCATGCAATGAAGCTTTTTGAGAGAAAAAAGTTCATTATATTTACCTCCCTTGGAAAGAAATGCTTAAGGTGTGTTTTGAGCTGTGTATAAAATACTATTAATTCATAAAATTCAATCATGTTGTCTTGGAATTCTATATTTAGAACATGTAGAATTTGATATTTTATTAGTTAAAGGATAAATTTATCTGAAACTGTAATAACTTCTTGCTGTTTCACCAACAATTTGTCACTACAAAAAGTCTCACCATTTGGCACAGTTGAAGATCATTTGTGAGCATTATATAATAATATATAATATAATATTGAGTTTTGGAGATTTGATATAATTTTATGAAATATAGACAAGTAGAGGAATTTGCCTGGCATGTCTAGTGCTGAACCTGATATGTAAGCTGTTGTATAGGGGAAAACATTAAATGATATAATCCATCTTATAGACTGAAAATTCTTACTATGCCAATTTTTAATATGACAATTGGAAAAGAATAATTTGATTTTCAAACTATAGAGATGCTTTTTTTAACTCTTGTAACTCGGCTTTGACATTAAGCAATTTGAATTTGGCATAATGCTTTGTTCAGTTAATCACTGGGCATTTCCTGAATGTCTTAACTGTCCAAAGGTCCATATCTCTAGCATGAAGTTTCACACAGTTATAGCCCTTTATGAACTAAGAAAATTCACTTGCTACTTTACTTAGTTTAAGTAATGCAAGTAAACAATCTCCACATTGAAGTTGACATTGATGTGTATTACTCTTTTATGCTTGAACTTATATTGGTTAAAACATTGAAATCCTTTTGTTGAAACATATTGCATGGAACATATTATGGAATATCAGACCAACACCAATAACTCTATCATACATTTTCACAGAATTATCATCCCTCTTTTGTGTTCTGAAAAAATACATGCAATGATACATAGTTTTGTGTTACAGCATTGAATGCTAAAAGGATAGCTCTATGTTAAAAAACTTTGTTGAAATGAAAATAAAGTTGATATATTTGAAATTGAACAATGAAAATTATAAAAGAAAGCCTGCTGTCTTATTAGAACCTTTAAAGCCTTTAACCCTCAACCAGTAACAAAGTAAATTTATTAAATGAATTTGCCCAGCAATTCATTCTAAGTTGAAGAGATTTCAATATAAAAATACAAAAAAAAAATGAGCTACCAGCAGCAAAGAGCTTGATCAGACTGGACGTATGTGCAGAATGGCCTTGCTCCATGTTGCTGGCAATTCAAGGCTAAACACTACTTTTGGTTTCAGCACTCGGCAGATTAAGCGTTAATAGGTTTGATCAGCTTATAGTTTTCAATTTCATCACAGAAACTTTGGAGTCTGTAGTGAAACTTAAGGAAAACTAATTTAGAAACTGCTGTTTGTAATTCTAAGAGTATACTGAAGATTTCTGGAAATTGCCTTTTAAATTTATTTTAAGAATTTTAAGTTATTTGGCCAATGTTCGAATCTCAGCAACTTGCGAAATTTTTATAACATATTAAATTAAAAAAATTGTGATTTCTTTAAGCCATTTGTAATTTTATGTTATATTTTAAAAGGACAGTCACTGGAAATATGAAAATCCTTATGTATGTGTTATTGTATATCTTCTGTATAAATTTTACAATCTAACATTTAATTAAGTGCTATCAGTTTGTTAGTGCATTTTCAAGTTAATTTACCAAGTTTGGACAAAACTTTTGTTTGGTTTGAACTTTCAATGTTGTGTCTCCTAATGTTTTAGAATTCCATTCTGACATTTTGCTAATTTTGTAATGTAATCTTTGAATTCCAAAACTATAATTTATGTAATATTGTTTCCTAGAAAAAAAAGGCCATACCATATAGCCAAAATGTACCCTTTGTTAAAAAATGATGATAGGGAAAGAATACCACTTTTATCACATAGTGCCTTATATATACAAGCATTATTGCCATTTTGTGGTTAAGAAAAAGATGATTTCAAGGTAATCCTGCCCTTGCCTCTTTATATAATGGATTAGAATGTGAAGGTCTTAAAAAAAACTCAGTCAGTTTGTCTGCAAGGGGAAAAAATGCGTACTAAATTAAACTTTCAAACAAACAAAATTTCCATATTCTAGAAACCTAAAGCTGCAGTTTTCATTGTGGCTTTCAATAACAAATGGTGTACAAAGTTTCTTTGTTTTTGAAAGGCAAAGGACACTCAAACTTGCAAGTGAAACATAGTTTGTTTTTTGAGGATTTTGGTATATTATATAACTAAAAATTCTGTTCTTTTTATAAATATATGATTTTTCTAAACCAAGCAATCAATTTCCTTGTATTTATTAATAAATACATGTACTCAAATTGCCTTGAATTTCTATGAAGGCTTATTATATAAACTTACAAGTATGTGACACACTAACTGAATAAAAAATTAAGGAAAACAAAATGCAGGAAAAGTGGTATTCTTTTCTGATATAAAATGTTTAGTTACCAATATTTTATAGCCAAGTTTTTTTGGTTTTTTTTTGTTTTTTTGCTCTAGCTTTTATATAATTATATATATATACATAGATATCCGCTTCAAGTTGTTTTTGTTTAGTCCATATTCCAAGTGCATGTGTATTGTGATGCTTGTTTTAAAATCCACCTTTTTAACTAAGTTTTAGATTCTTTTTGAATGCAACGACTTTTAAATACTTATATTTACTAATGTTAATTTGTATATATATACTTACTAGTGTTAACAACATGTTATACTTACTGTTCAATAAACTTTTTACATAGAAAGTTTGTGTGTCTGTAATTTTTTTAACACCATGAAATTCACTAACAAACCATGATAAAATTAGTGTTAGCGCACCTAAAATTTAGCCTTGTATACTTGTAGACTTGATTACTAACTTAACCATACTAATTGAAAGGAAAGCACAAATATACTCACTGGAATGGACTAAACGATCATGCACACTTGATAATTCCATTTACTCTCAAAAATATATATATATCTTGACCAATGTTTTGATGAACATATTCTTTTCTGCTGTCTTGTCTGTCCATCTGTCTGTTTGTCTGTCATTTTCTTAACTTTGAGATATAAAATCTGTACATGATATCCTAGGACTTGTAATAATCGGCTTTATGTGCAAAATCTTTTGCGATAAGCTTATTTGTATATGGCAAAAAAAAATATTCTTGCAATGCTTTCTAAATTACTACCTTGCAACATGTCTTGGCAATCAGTTTTATTATCATTGTTTGAAATGCCTTTTTCAGTGAAGCATTTAATTCCAAATGTTTTTTCTCATAAAAGTGATACTGAATTTTTTAAATGAGCCAGCTTCATGTATTTAGATTTCACGAGAATTTTACAAGAATGACTGTCACTGAACCAGCTCAGACTTTAAGTCTGAAATGAAATGATTTACAATCCTGTATAATATAGCTGACTATTTTTAACAGATACAGTTAGTGTGGATCTACCACAAGATATGGCCGGCCATAAACATGCAATAAAATTAGCATAAATACTAGAAAAACAAACATTAACTGACACAATTATCAGTGTCATACATAAGTTGTTCAATGTCTAAGTTATACATTAATAAGTTTCAAAACTAATTTCATGATCAGATTATTTTCAACTTGTAATAAATTTTTTTACACTCCCTTTTAGGAAAAGAGTCCAGTCTGCCAAAATTGTGAAATTTTAGAGTCGTGAAGTCATAAGTAAATTGGGGGAAAAACAGGTCATAAAAATGCCGGTTTGTAAATATAGAAAGTAATTTGGAATTTTGGACATTTGAGTAAAAATAAGCATTTTCTGCCATTTTTAATACTGGTTTCCTTTATTTAAAACTTCCTAAAGATGGGGAAAATTTTAAATGCTTAGACTTATAAAACATAATGTGCCTTGCTTACCATTTTAAATATTAACCAAATTGTAAATACACCTATCATAGATTCTGAAGACTGTTGCATGAATGAAGCCTACTTAGCTTTAGAAAAAAGCAAAGTTCCTTTTACTAGCATGGTTTGATGTATATTGAATATGCTGCCACTAACATAGTAAATTGTCACCTTAGTGCAATAACTAGTTAACTCCTATTGAATTTAGAAGGACTTAATGTGTTACTGCACTAAGGTGACAATATTGTCTGGGGAAAAGAGTAAACACTTGTGTAGGCTTCCCACTATATAAATGTACCTGCATAGTCACTTAAGCAAAACAATTTAGTATTTAAAAGTACACGTGATGTAACTGATCCCAAGACCTTGTATTTAACGCAGTTTTCTTACCAACGCTTTTTGCGCACAAAAATATGTCCCATGAATTGTGTATTAATTTAAATAGCAGCATCATAGGAACAAGACTAGCTTGCTTGCGGGTCTCTGTAGCACCAGTAGACTGAGCCCAGACTAGCATGCTTGTTATTTAACCAGACTACTATCGACAAATATTTTTTTCACACTTTTGACTAGATGATATCCGGAACTCTGCAAATGAGGGTTTTTTCCAAGCTATACCCCTAGTTCAAACAAACTTTTACGGTTATTATATAAGCTTCACAGTGCTGTACTAGTCATGATAGATTTAGTCAACTTGTTACGCTTATTTTAAAAGACTTGTGACTGTATAAGTTTGTTTGTATCCCTAGATAAGCTTGGGGGAAAAAAAATATTCTAAATTCATTAATGGTATGTCATGTATGTTGTACACATCAGTCAATTGTCAATTGTACACATCAGATGCTGAAGATAAATTTACAATTAACATACCGTAATAATGCAAGAGATGTATTTAATGCATACAGCATACTATTCCATTTATAACATGTACGTGATTATGGTCGCATGTATGTTTCAAGGAGCATGACAGCCGACCTATGACCCCAGAGGTAATAGCACAGGATTACACAGTGCTGCCGGCTCAAAGACCGCAGTCAACCATGTCGGACAAAGAGAAAAAGGCATTTGCAAAGCAGGAGAAAGAGCGCATTAAGGTAAGCTGGTCTAGTATACAATCATGTGTATATTTTTGTAGGCCACACTTGTTCGTGTAGACCTTGTTAACAATGTTATAACTTTTAATGCTGCAAAACACTTTACATATTCTCGTAGCATCATAATTTATTTTCTGATATATTTGATTTATTTGATATGTAAGAACTTTCCACAGATCTGTATTATAACGAGGCTTGAGTTTTGTGCTTATTGGGTCAAGACCATTGAGGGTAAAAAATAGATTTTTCTTATGTATGAGTCAGTGTAAAGTTTTGTCAAAGCCACATTGGGGAACTTCAATAAAATTTTGTACGGATATGTTTGGTTTGGTTTTAATTGAAACGCAGTATTAATTTTCATAACATATTCAAATGGAAGAAAACCAAATTGATTCAAGAGAAACTTAAGAAAATGTCATCGGAGATATAAATCAGAAAATTTACAGCGTTATTTTATTATCAAATGAATTAATTGAAGAGATGTTTATGAGAATTGAATTAACGATGGTCTTGAGGTGAAGTTTTCTTCCTCTCATTTAAGGGAGCATGGGTTCTAGCCGTACATTATACCAATTGTCTATTTCAACTAAGAACAACTTTCCCCTCATTGCTGTGGTTTTGAATCTCACCTTATAGTCTATGAGAAAGTCTTGTCCCCTTAGTGCAGTAACAGGTTAACTCCTTATATAATTTAATAGGAGTTAACCTGTAACTGCACTAAGGTGTTATATCTTCTCAGGTCAGATGCTGCCCCCCTCCCCCCCCCTACAACCCCCACCTCTGGAAAAAATAAATTACAGAAACAGAAAAAGAAGTTTTTCTTTTATCAATGCAGAAACAGAAAACCTAGAGAAATGAAAAGCAGGAATTTGATAAAATTATTGATTTAAAATATCTTCGAAGATAATACCTGCAATAGATAGACTGTCTGTTTCTCAATTAAATGATGTTTTTGCCTATTAGTATTTCATAATGAAAATTTCACTCATAATTCTACAGGTAATTGATTAGTGAAATATCTTTTATGTCAGCTATTTTCATGAAGCTGATGATCAGATATATGAGACAAATTATTGCAAACTGCAGAATTTGTTTCGCTATTGCGTCATTAATTTATTTCGGAACAGAATTTAAGTTACAAATATTGTCAATAAAACAAATTTATTGGCTGGACCACAAACTATTTCAGATTTATTTGTATAGAAAATTGTTTTGCACTGACCTTATCAGTTTTCTAATAAAGGAGGTAAATTTTAATAAACAGCCCAATGCGTTCAGCTAAAATGTCAGACCTTATGGCCCACATTGAGGTTATTTTATTGTGAAAAGATCTACGAAGGATGCAGCACATTATTAATATGTCTCAAGAACTGAAGGTCTTATTACATTGTACTTGGAATACCTATCCTTTTAGGAAACCGTCACATAATTACGTCGATGGTTAGGAAACTACCCGTCTATATGACTGACATAATGTTGGAAAAAGGCGTAAAATGAAACAAACAAACAAAACAAAACATAATTATGTCTTATATTTTGAAGCAGTAGCCAGATTGTATATAAAGGGATTTGTTTAGTTAGCTTCAATTTTATTTATCCTTTTATTATTGTATATTTTATTGAAAGCTGGAATTTTCATAATTAGATTCTATAAAAGCCCTTACAACCTATCTCAGTGCTTAAAGGCCTATTTAGCCAAAACCAATGCAGAAATTTTGATTTTTAAATTAAAACTTTTTATTATTTTTAATGTTACAATGTAAAAAAACCAAAAACTCATGGGCCATATAGCTGAACTATCTTTAGTATAGTTACAGTGGACTATCATTTTATATAGGAGTGGAAATACCACTTTGTTTACATTTTTCTACCTTAACCACAAATTATTTCATATTCTGCGCAATTTTGTTCATGTAATAAACATATGTTTTCGATCTGTTATTACTAACCTTTAAGATAAGTGTTTGCCCTTTCTTAGTAACTGGAAGAAAACTTTATTCATTTCTTAAGCATGATGTGCCTTTAAAGGATTTAAAGGAACTTTTTATAATCACCATTTTCTCAAATGTAAAGGTCAATAACTCTGGCACCCCTATTTGTTACCTGTCTTTGGAGTCTAAGAACTTGGAGGGTTTTCTTAACCTTTTTACCTGCTGAATTTTGCAAATGAGCTTGTCAGGCTTCCATTTTTGGGAGTGTTCATAACTAATTTTGGGGACATCTGTATTAAAATTCAAGGCGGACCAACAGTATAGAGTGTTGTCAGAACGCACAGATATGCACACTGGTGGCAAAGGTTAATCACTCTCTATTCAAGCAGTTTAAGGATTGATTATGACATTACACATGTCATCCAGAACATTACCTATGTCACCTCCAACATCTCAAATGTCATCATGTTGTCCCTGACATAACACATGCCATCCCCATCATTACCCATGTCATCCCGACATTAAACATGTCAATTCCCCAGCATTAACCATGTCATTCCTAGCATCACCCGTGTCATACCTGTCATTACCCTTGTCATCCCCGTCATTACCCATGTTATCCCTGTCATTACCCATGTCATCCAGACATTACACATGTCATCCCCAGCATTACCCATGTCATCCCTGTCATTACCAATGTCATCCCCAGCATTACCCATGTCATCCCTGTTGTTGTGGTGATGAAAAAATATGGTTAATAAGTGGTGTTTCTAAAAATAGAAGCAGGCCTCTATCCCACTTGGCACCATTGTTGTGTGTTGAAAATTAAAACCTTTTTGATTTCTATTAATAGAATTTAGTTACTTATTACCTAATGTTCTTAGTTTGCTCAGGAGTACTCTTTAATAGGGAAAAATCTAATCGTCAGGATGACACCACCCTTTGAATGCAAAGGGAAATAAAACACAAATGTTGAATAAACTTAAATCAACCAAATTTTTAATGAACTAAGCTTTTATTTACACTTAACTAAAAGTTACTTAAAACTAAACAAGTTGACAAAATGTACTTTAATATAAACTGTCTGTAATTAACCAAAAATATGATAATCAAAATAAACTAGCGAATAAAAGATTTAAACCAATTGAAAGTTGTTTAAACTGTTATAACTGAAAATATGATAAATAACCTTAATGATTCTGTGCTGTTAAACTAATAAACCTAAATAGTAGCAAGCCCTGTTTTAATCTATGTGAACAAAAATAGAGATCTAATAATTCAAGATGGCTGCCACTTAAAACAAAGAAAAGATATTAATTAATCTTAATTAACTCTGTAAAAATAATTACTAATATTACTTACAATTTTAACAAAAATAATTTAGTGAATTTAGATAATCTCTAAGGTTCATTTAAATGCCAAAGTGCCTAAAATAAATTAAATAATTAATTAATTAACCTTAGAGAGCTTTTAGAGATCTTACTTTTCCAAAAATTAGCAGCAGAATGATAAAATTGTTTGAGATGCTTGTATAAATGGACTTCTGAATCCTAGAGGGAGCTAGCATCTACCTACAGGTGGCACTGTATGTAACAACTTATCTGATTGGTCAAATTACAGCCAACCAGAATTTACTTAACAAAGCTCTAGGCTTATCAGTTCTTTACATAACTAGTCTAAAAATAGATTATGATTCATGGAAAAGTTTAACATGAAACAATATTGACATTTTCTATAAAAGATGATAATAATGACTAAGTAATACAAAGTAATCAAAATAATCAAAATACTAATAAGAAACTAAACATATTTACAAACATATATAATGCTAAATCAGTAACTTGTATCTCACTTTAAAGTTTAAGGATAATATAAGTAAAAGTAGAACCATTCTCTATATGTTGTATATAAAGAGTCTTAGGCCATGCTAAGTTACTGTTAATGAGTGTATCAATAAGTTCTACAAACTATAATCAACATTAAACTAATGAATGATAAGAATGAAATGTCTGTAAAACAATACAATATTCAATATGATTAAACTTTAAAATAAACTTAAATCTCAGTTAAAGTTTAAACCCTTAATATTTCTTGAAAAATATGTATGAAGATTATATATGATTAACGTCTTTTAGTAATATTATACAATATTATGTAATGATTATGTAAGCTGTTGTAAGTGGAATCCAACTTTACAACAATACACCGGTTTTGGAAAAAAGAAAAAAATTTATTGCAATAAAGCAATAATTTTTTTCAAAGATAAAACTTGAACTTAAACTGTATCATTAAGATACCTCAAAGAAATAGCATATTATCTTATCAAAAAATGTTCATGTCAATATAATATATGGATGAAACTATAAAGTATAAAACAATAAGCTAACAAATCTACTTTAAAAGAATGAATAAAGAACATATTTACAAAAATGTACAAGCATGCAGTTATGGTGAAATATTATTTATCTCATGTTACATGGAAATAGAAATACATGTGTATCTATGCATCATGTGAATATAAAAATGAGAAAATAATTATTAAAATGTCTTGTTTTGGAATTAAAAGAAGTGTTATTATATTATTATAACATGATAACAATTTACAAATGTTATTTCTTCTTTCTGTCATCATCGGGGTTTTCTAGTTTCGTCTTGTTTGGGGTTTCTTTTTTGTCATGTTCGGGTTACTAGTGTGCTGACACAGCCACCTGAAATGTTCATACTGTGCCCAATGTCTTTGCACTAAGATTTTGTCACAATTATGGGATTTGATACTTATGCGCGATAACAAGTTATGTTTAGTATAAGTGCATGATGGCACAACCACCTTAAATGTTCATTGCACCCAATGTCTTTGCACTATTATTTACATGTTGCGCGATATCATTATTTTTGTCTCTCAGATGCACAATTTGGTAATGTTTCTCAGATGCGCGATTTAATTATATTTACTCAGATGCGCGATCAATTGATTTGTTTTACTTTGCGCGCTATTTCTTTCACTTTATTCTACACTTTAGATTTTCTTTATCACTATTCATATAACACTTTATCACTATTCATATAACA